GACAGATGCCTTTGGAAAGTCAAACGGTAAATCTGAGAAATTTAATTTTTTTAATCCCTGCTTCTCCTGTCCATGACAATATATCCAAGATGGCGGTGGCTATACAGGAAAAAAGAGAAAATAGCAAAAGTTGCTGCTTTGGACCTCATGCGTCAACCACAGATTTTGATTGCTGGTAAACAGTAACAAATTATGTATGTAACATTTAGCTGAAAACTGAAATTCCCGTAGATTCTCTTTAGGACTTTTCAACGTGACAGCCATTTTCTTCTTGCCTGCCGAGCTTCTTGTCTTGCAAAACACTTATGCATATGAGAAGATTTACACTTCTAAGTAGTCCCTTTGACATAGGTGATACTATGCACATGCATAAAGTTACTGATGTACATGTGTTTGTAGGGTCAAGGCCCAATTTGTGTATCTCAGGCTGTCCACAGAAAGTTGTAAAATAGTTCTACAATGTAAATCTAAATTATTTCAAAAATAATTTCTACAATGTTGATGACTTTGGGGTTTTTTCTATTTTTCATCTGATGATAGCTGGATTATTCACTAAACCTAGGTTATAATCTCTGAATTGTTAGGCATAAAACTGGAATTTCATTTTACAGATAGAATTGGATATTTTATTCAGTTATTCTGTCATTTTTTAAGGAAAGTTAGGAAAATATGGAATTAATATTAATTCCAAAATGGAAGAGTATCCACTTGTTTATATGAAGATTCAGTCTACAAAGTGTAGCGATGTGTCTTTCATTTTGGGTATTTTTGGTTTTGAACCTCATGCCATTGGGATGTTTTATAAAAAGCCATATAATCCATCAGAAGCTATTCCCATTGCAATAATTTCTAACCACTTTTTTCTGCTGTTTTCAGCAGAAGACTCTGGTACTAATTATGATTTCTGTCAATCAGAGATAACGTCTCTGAAGTCCCTTAAATAATATGACCCAATTAGTTAATGCTAAATTAGCTTCCGTCAATCCCTGCCTTCTCCTGTCCATGACAACATATCCAAGATGGCGGTGGCTATACAGGAAAAAAGAGAAAATAGCTGCTTTGGACATCATGCGTCAACCAGATTTTGATTGCTGGTAAACAGTAAAAAATTCACCTGCCAAGGGATTTAAAGTCTTATCTTGTGTCTTTTCAGGGTGCTAGTTAACCAGGACCCAATCCCTAAAATGTCTAAAGACACCATGTATGCAAACAAATGCCTTCTGATTTATTCAATACAAATGATTTTACATTCTGTAAATTGGGGCTTATTCATTTTTAGTACAAAGCTGAGCCTGCCAGTCATCTAGTACTAATTTCATTGACAGCCATAAATAAATACCATTCTTTGTATTACATACAATTATAAATCACTTGCCTTAAAGTATCCACACTAAAATATAAAGATCAATATTAAAATGTTGGGTTTGAGTTGTTATATAGGGTGGTTGTTTTTTAAAAGAAACTGAAAGACACCAAAATTGTTCTTAAGATGCCATCTACTGTGCTCCTCTGTCAGGAAAGCTACGGAGCAAGCCGAAAAACGTAAATGTTTTCATGTAATCTGCTGTGCTGCATCATCTTTCTGTTCATTTCTTAAACAGCTGCATTTTCCTCCGCTTGACTTGCAGAATTTCTGAAGCATCAGGGTTGACGTTGACCTGCTGGGATCCTTCTGCCTCTGCCTGCTCCTGCAAAACCAAACCAACTAAATTATGGGGACAAGCCAACATAAACGGAGCATTTTATTATCCTGTCTCACATGAATTTTAAAAAAATCCATCTGGCATAAAAATAAGGATTATTACTGCACTTAGGCTAGACTTCTGCCCTGTTTGCTATTGGCTCCCCATTTCTAATTTACACCCTAAATGAGGAGCAAGCAGTCGAGAGCGATGAGATACCAGTAGGTTTCTCGGTGAAGATCAGACAAGTTCTATGTGTGGGAGATTCCAAAAGACATTCCGTGCTAGCTGTCTTATTCAAATATTACCATGAGAATTACTCCCTCTCGCCATTTTGCAGATAGGAGACTATCAAATGTGTGTGTTGAGCGCAGCTGGTCTGGCGAAAGGGAACCCGCAGGCCCTGTAGCTTGGGAACAGGGAGCCCAGCCCCTGGGTGAGCAGCCGGAGCGGGGCTGGCTACTGGGGGCAGGGAGCATGCCCGTCAGCTGGAGCAGGGCCAGTGGCCAGAGGCATGGAGTGCTTGTGGCTGGGGCCAGGAAGTGGGGACAACGGCCTGGATTGGAGCCCTGCCAGCACACTGGGGGTAGCTCACTAGCTGGGCCGCTAGCCAAGAAGGGAGCCCCAGGAAAGCCCCAGGCCTGGCCTCCCCTGGTCCAGTGGCCCCAAGGGTGCGGGACCAGGGAGGTCCAACCTGCATTATATTTCTCTTGGGATGGTCCATTTTCTTGTTGCAAAAGATAAATTTTAAGAGCAGCAAACAACTGAAAATGGAAAGTGGCCATTTTATTGGCACTGGGTATTTAACAGTATCTGGGATGCTACTAGGGTCACAGCAGAGGAGCATACGCAGAGGTGGGGAATGTAACAGATTAGGGGCCAAATCAGAGAATGGGGAGAGAGAGAAGACACACTGGAGAATCTCCACCCTCCCATTCCATGTGTTAGGGACTTTCTCCCCCTGCTTCCTGCGGAGCTACCCAGCTCCAGTTGGATCTCTAATCAGATCCTATCTTGCAGTAACTGCCTCGGTGAGCCCTTCCCGCGCCGTGAGTGCCCCAAGATCCTTGTGGAACAAAGACCATCCACGGGGAAAACCCCTTTGCGCGTTCCACAGGGGAGCCACACTCTGTCCACCCTATGGAGTTTCCCAGCATCTACCTGGAGAGACAACTTCATGGCATTGCCCCAGTATTCTTTTTCTGTGGTTAAACAACAGGGAGACGGCAGCTACCCGTAACTCAGTCTGGTAGCTTTCATGAGCACTGAATGCCATGACGGCTCAGAGCCTGTCTAGGGAGCTGTGCTGTACAAGAGGGCTGGGAGAAGGACAGTTTATTCCACTTACCGCTCCAGGTTCACACTGGGCATACGTGCCCTGCGGTGCCCTTCCCTGAGCATTCGCCAGCTCAGCCGCCCTTCTAGCCATTTCTACTTTGTAGGAGCCTGGGGGAGTCCAGCCAATGCCTTTGCTCCAGTTCAAGTCAGACTTGTATTTGACCTGGAAAAAGGAAATATACGCCGTTGGGTATGATCGGGTTAGGCTCTAAATTAGACCACCTGCATTAAAGGCTGGATGGGACACAAGCCAGAACTATTTGTTCTTAGAAAAGAGAGGCTCCTTTTTCTGTTGCAATACAGGGTGGGGTGTTTTTCCCCCATAGTCAAGTATAGGAGTCAGGGAGTGGTCTGCAAGTCTCACTAAGAGTAGCTCTGGGAATAAGTGTTGTAGCTACAGCCTATTGAGCAGGGGTTTTCAAACTTCTTTGCAGCACAGGCCTTCCTCATAACAAAAATTACCAATAGCATCCCCAGGAGAGGGACTGAAGCCTGAGCCTGCTCAAGTCCCACTGCCCTAGGGCGGAGGCGAGACCAAAGCCTGAGCCCCATCACTCTAGAAGAGGAAGAGGGCAAGTGCTTCAGCCCCAGCCAGGGGGACTGTCATCTGAGCCCTACCCCCCAGTACTGAATCCCTTAGGTTTCAGCTTCAGACCCAAGCCATGGGCCTGAGGCTTCAACCCTGAGTCCCGAGCAAATCTAAACCAGCCCTGGCAATCCCAGTGAAATGGGGCCCCGCCCCACAGCCAGAGAACCACTGCTATAGAGCAAAGGTACTTACATCACTCTGGAGCTGGTAAGCCTGTTTTGCATGCTTCAGATTCAGCTGCTCAGGATCACAAGTGTACTGGTGCAGGGGCTGTTTGTAGTTAACATTGCTGACTAGCTGCTGGCTCTTCTTAGCATGGATGAATCTGGGCTGGTTAATGTGGCTCGTGAACTGTGTCCTGTTTTGGGCAGACCCCTTCCTGTATTGGTTGTCACTCTGGAGTTTCCCCACCCTGATGAAGTGCCTCATTTTGGGATCATCATTTATGTTACGGAATCCGATCTGTTGGCCTTTTTCCCTCAGGAAGGCCTCTTTGTACCTGAACTGCAGGGTGTTGGAGAGGGAAATCTCATTTGCACATGCACATTTCAATTGTACGACTGCCTTATTAATTGAACTGCCCCTCCCCATCAATAGCTCTCCGCTGGGAGCACAGGCTCCCCGCTGTGCTCTTACACCAAGAGGAGTCTGACCCATGGGCATTTATATTTGTTTGTAACAAAGCCATTATTTATAAAAGCGACAAGGAGTCCTGTAGCACCTTATAGACTAACAGATGTATTGAAGCATAAGCTTTCGTGGGCAAAGACCCACTTTGTCAGATGCATAACGAAGATGTACATGCATCTGACGAAGTGAGTCTTTGCCCACAAAAGCTTATGCTCCAATACATCTGTTAGTCTATAAGGTGCTACAGGACTCCTTGTCGCTTTTGTAGATCCAGACTAACACGGCTACCCTGATACTTGACACCATTACTTATAGTACAACTACATAACCACAGTAGAATAAACTCTTGGTAATTGTTCAAGAAACTGAACATTTATGAAGCCACCACCCACTGCCAATGTAGGACCATTTCTTGGAGAGCTATATACTTTTCCTTGAGCTGGCTAGTCCGGTTAGAAATGACTCAAGCAATACAGCTCCCATCACAGTAATTTTTTTGCCTATGGGCTTGTCTTCACTACACAGTGGATCAACATAGCAGCAACTGATTCACC